TGTTATGTACGATCTTTGGTGTTACATTCATGCCATACGCCATTTTGAAAAGTGACGTATGACGGAGTCTTACACCGAGCACATAGATTTCTAAACGTTTTAAACCATGTATTTCAAACTAACCCCCGAAAAACAACAACCCTGGTGATTAGTTTTAGCAGTAATCTAAGCCAGTGGAAGTATCCAATGGTGCAAACGTTTGACATAGTAGATGTAGTAGCAAAAAGCGCAGTGGGAACCACCATCAGTGTGTGCGCCATAGCCGGCCACGCCAGAGCGACACATCGTGCGGTGCGCACCGCGGCCAAACTGGTGCGGCCATTAGCACAACGCCCCGGGACCGCTACGGCAAATTTAGGCGGCGAAACTCAGAGCGTTCCTGGCATTGTCAGCGTCGTCGCTGCTGCACACTGCCAGTGTGGATTTACTGCAACGGGGAGTTGTGTGGTCTTCTATGCATCGGACTAAATCTTGATAAACCATTCTTTGAAATGAACTTACGGAGGATTATAAGATGAATTTGAAAAATAATATAATCAAGGAATAGTTCTGATATTCAATTTGTTCTTTTTGCCTCGGACTAAACCATTTTTAAAAATGATCTTAATGTAGAATATAAAAAGAATTTGAAAAGTAAATATTATGACCAATGAATACTTCAGATATTCAACTTGTTCTCAAACTATTAAGAATTTGATCTTATCAAAATGATTCACATGATAACACGATAGCTGCAGGAACGTCAACATTAAAAAAGGTTTTAGATATTACGAAGAACAAACGCAATAGCTAGGATTACAAAACAAACAAAAATGATTTTTAAAATACCGTTATACTACACCAAACCCTATTAGAAAACGTCCCATAACATATAATAATAGAGTAAAAGTTTACACTGTCCATTATAACGTATCGTTCTTCCACATTAACAGTTCTATTTAAGTGTGACATTTAAGAATGCTTTCAGGTTTTAAAAAAAGTGAGAATAGGGGGAGAGAGAGAGAGA